ATATAAAACTAATATAATATCAATAAAATAATATAAAATAATGTTTAAAAATATCTATAATATTACAATATAATATACTATAAATTTAATAAAATTTTGATATTAATAATTTTTAATTTTTCTTATATCAGGTATCGTACCTACTAAGTACAAATAGAAATCCTCAATTTTAAAATAATATAATTTTTGTTATTTTGCATTATATACAATATATAAAACTCCTTACCTTAACACCAATATATACTAGATTAATGCGTAGCATTGTGTGTCTGGAGCACATGATAATCATCATATTGCACAAACGCGTGATTGCATGTTTTTTGTTACACTAAAGTACAAATATAGACACGCGTGCGGATAGACAGAATTTTCAAAATTACGTTTTTGATGCATCAGAAACGCAACTTTTGTATCACAATGACTAAACATTAAGTGTCCTCCGCTACGGACAATAAAATTAATATGACTATATACAGTATCGTCAACAAATGTTGATTATGTAATCATTTGTCATATGATAATTAAAAGGATCATTAAAGTAACCAATCATGAAACAATATTCGATTTATTAAATCAATCACACGAAAGTTATTCTACGTATACGTATAGGATTTTCAAATTTTAAAACAACGTTAAACTTAGCTATAATTAAGATTTAATATATAAGTTATATATATATTTTGTACCGTTGTATATTGATATGTATCAAATTTATGTACGTACGTATTTAGGAGTTTAAGTCCGGGTTTTAAATTGAACGATATTCAGTAATATATATGTTGTGCCCCAAAACTAAATTTGTCCTAATTGTCAATTGGGACGTCAATTTACTAAAATTTACCTAAACATCTGGGCTAAATTAATTTTTTAGGTTGATAATTTAGGCCAATTGACATCTGACATCTGGGCACAACATATATATATATCGGTATCATATATCGCTATGTAACTTGAATATAATTATACGTCCGTATACGTAATACATTTATATATATCTGATATATACGATATACACATATATAGTTAATTTACAATATAAGAATGGAAACTAAATAGATTCAGTCTAAAAAAAAACATAGATCATAACGATAATAAGCATTATTGTATATTCAAAACATAATATAAATTTTTTGCAAAAAAAAAAACGCGAAAATATATTCATAACCATTGGAACAAAACTCAATGAAAATGTACATTATCTTTTGTAGAACATATCAATTCTATATAACGATAATGAATAAAATTATTGGTACGTAAAATTTTAAGAATTTTGTCACACATTGAATTGAAAAGCATTGTGATAATAAGAACTGAAATTTTTTATTTAGTAAATAAAATTTCTTATAGTAAATTATATAAAAAGCAATTTGGCGTATACATTAAGGGACAAATTCATTTAGGCCGAAATGTAATGCTAGTTTCACATGCTATGGAATTTTTTAAAAGTTTTAAGAAGCGCTTAATCTTTAACATCAGTTTTAGTTCGTCAGAAATTTTTAAAATTCTTTTTTTTTTTTTTTTTGTAATAAATTAAATGAATTAGACAGAAAAATGAATACGTACGATTGTTTAAGTTAACCATACGTAACAGTATTTAATTAATTATAACAAATAACAATTGTTCGTTGAAACACCAACTCTTACAAAGAGTCCTTATAAGTAATCACTAGCCTCAAATAGGAAAATTTAAAACAAAGATAAACAAAATTCAAAATAAGCAATCTATATATGTAATTTTATACGTAAAAAAAAAATAAAAAAAAAACAAATTGGAAAATATAAATATATTACAAAGATTATAAAGTTATACGTAGTGAATCATAATAACATAATAACCAATCTCTTAATACGTAAGAGATGGATATGTATATTAATGTATAGTATTAATAGTACTAATAGTACTAATAGTATGATAGTTCTCTAATTAATTTTATTGAATGGATGATTAATGGGGCTTAAGTAAAAAAAGAAAAATAACAATGAATGGGAGATTAACGCCACATAATAAACAGGGGGTGATCTAAGCTTCGTCTTCGCTGAGTAGCATATTCGGTATACCGTCTTTAACGGGATATTCATGAGAGCAATTTGCACAGATCATTTTGCCTTGCACAATATGCGTCTATATTATTATATATGAATTATGAATTAGATATAAGTGAATCAGGTAAACGACGAAAAAAAAAACCATAAAGTACTTCAAACAATATTCTATGAAGTTTTTTTAAAAAATCCTCGTCAAACACTTCCGGTAAATCTTGTGGGAGAGAAGTTATTCCGATCTAAGAAAAACATTAAGAAACGTGTAATACAAAATAGAACTTGCAAGAACGCGTTCAATAAAAACCTAAGAGCTTTTAAGAACTTTTAAGAAAAAATACCTGAGCAGCAGTGGTTACAAAAGCTCTCCAGTCTAGTCTTGGCAACATGTTTTGCAGAAAACGAGGATTAAACTCAATTTCTTGAATCTCAAGCTCGACATCCAAAAGTTGTAACGGGAAATTATTGGAAACGCAACCTTTAACGTGACATTGAAGCATATTATGAACTACTAACCGCATTTTGATATTATTGGAAAGTAGTTCTTCCGGTGAATTGAAAATAATTATTTCAGTATTTTTGATCACTGTTACTACGTATTGAATTGTTATAAATATGATAATCAATGGGTACACAAATCATTTTTTTTGTGTGTAAATCGAGTGTCCCCAACTTAAAAAAGCTATAATCAACCCTCTAGAGCAATTCAAGTAACTTGGAATGTTTTCAAGAAGCAGACTACTTATTCTTTCTAACCTTAATAAAGGTAAATACAGGAAAATTGAATTTTATCTTGAAACATGTAAAACAGTAAATTAAAGTAAATAATTAATTAGTTAACAAAGTCAAATATGCATATGGAATCCATACAACGGCTATCTTACAAAGTGGAAAGGTCGTTGAAGCAACCTCTAACTCTTTTAATAATTTAGTTTTAAATGCGAAAGAGCCAGTGATTGTTGATTTTTATGCAGAGTGAGTTGAAGGATGGTTAGAGAGCTATGCGAGGGTAAAAAAGAATGCTTTAAAAATCCTATTATAAATATAAAATTGATCGTTCATGGACAATTTTAAATCAAACAGTTGGTGTGGGCCCTGCAAGCTGTTGGCGCCGATTCTTCAGCGTATCGTTGCCGATAACAAGAAAGTTACCCTTGTTAAGATAAATACGGATGATAATCAAGATTTGGCCGAAAGATATAGGGTAACTGTAACTCAAATTTTCGAAAGAACATAATTCCGATAAAGTTAGTTATAATACTGGTTGGTTTATGTCCTTTCGGGAAAATGGCATTCAGAATATCATACAGTAACCAGTTATTACATCTTTAATCGAATGAGTGATGAATTTTTTTTATTTTATTTTTTTTTACTAAAATTTGTGATATTTGCGTTTTAGATTACTGGACTTCCAACGGTATATTCATTTCACAAGGGAAAACCTGTGGATCATTTCATTGGCGTAAAATCCGAAGGTGCAGTTAAGGAATTCGTAGAAAAGGCAGCTGGTTTAGCGGATTAACATTATATCAGAATTATACTAAATAATATTCAAATTGAATTTGTAAATATATGTATTTTATGTGATTTACTTAAAACTTTTGTCGAATTTTTAAATGATTTAATTACATATCATTAACTGTTAAATTAACATTTAAAAACAACATTCAATTTTATATCAATAATTATATCATATTCACTATTTTAGGCATGGTCTGTTTTGCTTATTTTCTGGTATATGTTATTATTTATTACTCTCAATAAAAATTGTTCTTTTCGAGACGTTCTCTTGTCGCTATATATGATGCTCGTGTAACATATTGCATTGGTGTGCTGATCTGCATGATGGAAAATCCATTTGATTGGTTGTCGATCATCATCATAGTAACTATATATAAATCATCAACGAATCTGATTAAATTTGCCAGAAGCAAGTATAAAGTTTCTTTAAAATTTCATTGTCTTTTTGCTATATAAATTTATGACTTGCAAGTAGTAGTTCATAAATTTTTATAGCAAACAGACAATGAAATTTTAAAGAAATTTTTTTTTCGATACACTCAAGTTTTCATACTATAAGCAGCCAATGAAATTTCAAGGACCTACAACCAATCAAATTGATTTTCAACCATGCTGAGCGGTTCAAGGAATTTTTCACGTAACACCTGATCTGGAATAGAAGAGATGATTGGGGTAGCTGCGGTAGTGCACCGAAAAGACCCGGGATCTAATACAAGATACCCAGAAATTTCACGTAAGTACGTATGCACGCACGCATTTAATTAATAGAGGCCGTCGGTGCACTGTCAGTGCACCACGGCATTTTAGAATGTCGGCTCGATTCTAACGTGATAATTATTAAAAGAATAACGATTAGTTATTTACCTATGCATTACGGAATTATGTATATGTATTATGTAATAAATAAATTTGATACGTACATATCTCTGTATTTTGTATATATTGTGTAATTAACCTTGTGAATCAAATGTAGTATACGTATCGATATATTTTTGAATGTTTAACTCTAATCCTCTTACTATAAATGTTAAATCTGCAAAATGTTTTATCAAAAATTTTTTTTGATTAAACAGCATAACTGGTTTGATATAACTTGTTCTGTGGATTTGGACTCGAGTATTAATTATTAAAATATTACCTTGATAGCTAATAATTTGATTCGTGATGCCGAAGTCGTCTTTATATTGTTTATGCGCTTAATACGCATATATGTGCACTGTACCAACCATTATTAAAGAGAATTTATTATTTTATTTATTATGTCTTCGAATTTTATTATATAAATACATTTTATTTTCTCTACGTACGTATCTTTTTTCTTCGATCTATAACAAACGTCTCATCTAATCATTCTACAAATTTGAAAAAATGCGGTTTAATTTGATTTTGTGTTTTGTGGTGTGCGTGTCCATATTTACAATTTCTTGTCAAGCTTCAATTGATAAACATGGTTTAAAACACAAACGAAGTGATTCAAACGGTGTTAGAAAGAAAGTACCCTTGTTAGCTAGACAAGCACCAGCTCATACTCATACTGCAGAGGCTTCTAAAGTTGGTTTTTTTTTTTTTTTTTTTTTTTCTCGATCAAATATATCTGTCATCTAATTGTTTACATTTATTTGCATTTAGAAATCATCATCAAAAAAAGCTGACTCAGTTGACTCTAAATTTAAATCATCAAACTCTAAATTATCTAAATCGTCTAAATCATCTAACCCAATTGTAAAAGTCGCCAACTCCACACCTAGTGCAAATGCTGTAAATGGCATTATCTCAATGACTACTCCTACCGCCGTTCCTAACGCCGCTCCTACCGCTACTGGTACGTCTAATGCTCCTGTTGCATCCGTTGCACCTGTTGTTGCACCCGCACCTGTTGTTGCACCCGCACCTGTTGCTGCACCCGTACCTGCTGGATCTGATGACACCAAAAACCAATCTTCAACAAAAGTATCAGGTAGCACTAGTTCCGCTACTGCTTCCTCTACTGCCTCGGCGGCAAACTCAAATAGTCAA